CTGCTTATGCAGGGGGTTGGACTCGATGATCTATTGAGGTCCCTTCTGACCCTAACATCTATGAATCTATGCTGATCACAAATCACATACTCCACCCCACTAGGTAGAAAATAAAACTTACTCGTGAACCACAATAGCACATGCATGGAATTGTCTATCACTGCTCTGCCTCTACAAACTAATAGTACCAACAGATCTCTTCCTCTTCAAGTAAGTGCTAAGGTGAAATATGACATCCCAGTCTTCCCATCTTTTTGCCATGTTCATTGATTTGGTTCCTTACAGTTTTAGAAAAATTCTGCTAAATGCAGAATACTTCCTAACTTACTTAAATACTGTGCAATTCATGGGTGTGATTTTAAGGTGGTAACAACCCAATGTAAAAGCTGTCATATAGATTTTAAGATCCCAGGAGCCAGGCACCCAGACCAAATCAACAAGATATCGGTGTCTGACGTACTTATGCTTCCCTAGGATGTAGAGTTACAGGACAGAGTTAATGTTGGTATTGGGATGGGAGAGGGGTTATGGCTTATTTAAGAAAAATCTAGTATCAAACAAGTCTGTTAAAAAAAAAAAAAAAAAAAAAAAAAGCTAGAGACTATCATTGACACTTTAACTAAAGTTAATGGATTTGACTGCTGTATTCCAGACTGAATTTACCTTGTATGGTTAGTTCAACCTCTGGAATCAGTCATCTTTTTTGTGGTCTAAAGGTCACTAGAGGAAAGAGCCAGGAATTACAGATTCTGATGCAACTTTAGGCTGGATCCTACAATCAGTCTACAGAGAAATCTCATTTTCAGTCAGTAGTTGCATCTCTAGTCATATGTTTTATTACTATGCTGGCTTGCTTTCAGATGGATGGCCTATTATTTTCATTCCGAAAATCCCAAATTGGCAGTGTATAATGAATAAATTCAGAAGGCTTAGGGTTGCGATAGTATATAGCAATGCATTGTCTCTCACAAAAGAAAATTCACCTTTCATAATATAGCTTCAGAATATTTATAGTATTTGCTGAAACAGCTTCCCTTAACAAGATATCATTAGCTATCCAAGATATCTTTCCTTTGTTCTTGCTTTCTTGGATTACTCTGTTTTTCTTCAGTAATGTGGAATATGCATGCTGAAAAAATTGTATTTTTAAAATATCAGTGTAACTAATTACATTAGATTTCTGTAGAGCTTGCTTGGAACCTAAGTGTCCATACCGCATATGAAGTACATTTTATGTTCCTAGATGGTAGAGCTGTTACCTTTTAAAAAAAATTCTTAGTAAGAACAATTCACGTCAGACTACTTTCTAAAAAAAATTGATCATGGGTTGAGAATTAAGCTTGGAATAGCTCATCTTGTAAAACAAACTATAATAATAATAATCTAAGAAGCCATTTTTGAATGGAAACGCTTACTGAGAGTCACTTCCCTTATATTGTCATACAAGGGTGTTGAACTCAATCAGCCCCGTGGGCCTTTGGCTGGCCTATAGGCTAGTTTGGGCCGTGTTGGAGCCAGCACAAGGTCCATCAGGCATGCAGCACACTCCCTGTGCCAGCCTTCTATGCTGTAGGCAGTGTGCTTTGGCCTTGCCTGGGGCTTGTGCTCAAGGTGGTGTGTGGGCTAGACCCATCACGTAGGCTAGATCTACAGCCCAGGGGGCCAGCATGGGAAGTGCACTGCATGTGGTGCCTTGCTGAACCAGCCCTGTGTCTGACTCTGACATGGCCTGTTGTGGACCAGACCCTACGCTGCTCAGGCAGCATCTGCGGAGCCAGGTCCAGCCCATGCACCAGGATGGTACGCTGCATGTGGAGTCAGTCTCAGACATCAGGGGCTAGATCTAGCTCCTGGGCCTATGTTTTACACCTCTGTTGTAGTATGTTAAGTCAAGCTAGTTGTTTGAGTAAAGCTTGGACTGGTTTCAGTGATAACAGGTGCATCTACTTGAGACACAATGCACAGTAGACTAATTCTACTGTGCATTAGTGCGTCATGGCAAAAACCAACAATAGAAGTAGTCTACTGCGCATTAAGCATCACAAGAAGACCATGAGCCATTGCTGCAGCTCATTACTGCCAGCTACTGCACATTTATGTAGTACCTCATATTAGAGGGACTAAACTTAATGTGCAGTGGCAACAGCGCATTAATGCACATATAGACGCACCCAAGGCCATAAAAATCCTATTCGTCTACGTTTTCTCTTTGCTTTCAGATTCCACGTGGCGGTATAGTCAAGTTCCCAGATCTTCATCAGTGGTACTTGGTACTCTGGGAACTGAGCTAGTGAGAGAGAGGGGAGAGTTAGAAAGGAGAACAGACCCATCTACTAATAGTCTTGTGGATTACAGTCACAGGAATGGTGACTTTTCATCTTCAACATGTAGGTATTATACAGGTGAAGGCATGCAAATGCATATATTTTTTTTAGTTATTCCTTTCATGTTTTATGTCGCATGTAAAATCTACCATCTGTTTAAAGATGATACTTTCTAATCTCTTTGCTCTTTTACTCAATTGACTAAACATTTAGCCAAGTAGAATTTAACTCTTCAGCAGTTAAGTTGAATGCAACTTTATCTAGATTTGTAAATGCTTTGGTATCTATTTAATGGTAGACATAATGGCAGACTATTTGTACTAAGCTATACTAATTCCCTTATTTGAACATTTAAATGTCCTTTCTATTCCTTATGCTTCTGAGCCTGGTTTTCACTGAGGTTTGACAGTGGATGGAGATTTAAAAAATGAACTGGGTCATTTGACTGCTAAAAAGATGTTCTCATGTAGTCTTCTGTCTCAGTTGCTTGTGACCTGAGTGGAATTAGGTCAGATCTCTCATACAGCCCCTTTAGTTGCCAAGATTTCCAGCATGCACAACTGTAAGATTACAATGTATAGAGAAAAACTAGGGTGAAGCTGAAACTACAAGTAACTGTGGCAGTTGTGTGCATACTTAACCATGCTGAACTGAAGTTGGCTTAACAACAAACGTAACAAACTCAGAAATCAAAGCTTCAGTCTTAGTCGACAAATGCTTTAGCACAGCTACATACTCCTTGTATCAGGCTTTCTGTTCAGGCTTTTATAATTCCTGTTTAAACTGTTCTGGTCTTCTAAAACTGTCCCATCTGTTCAAAGAAAAGCTACTCACTTCCTTAACCTCACCTCTTCATAGATGGTTTTTATGCAGCTTAGATTCATAATGCTGAAGAATCCCTATTCTCACAGGCAGGGAAAGATAAAAGGAAATGAAACCCTTAGCCCTCAATTCTGTACTGTGATCTGGGTGGCCAGACTGCTGGGGTTACACCACTGTTTATTCAGGTCAGAGCAGCACTTGTGCAGAGATAACAATGCAAGTTTGAAGGGCCATAGTACAGTTATGGACTCTTATTTACTTTTAGTGGGATTCTGCCTACATAGTTTTTTCTCAGTGAGGAACCTATATGTGAGACTGGAATTCAGAAACTCCCCAAACAGTACAATAGTGTCTAATTGTAGAATATTTAGGGAAGCTAAGGCAGCTTTTTTTTGTTAACTGCAGTTAAATATCACTTTAAAACAGGAAGTAAAAGAAAACCTTTCTTACTTACCCAATTGCTCAGCTTGTTGCTACTTTTTTTAAAGAAGCTTTGTGGTCTTCCAAGCTGTCTCCAAGGAAGAGAGACTAACATCTGATGCTGGTTTCCTTGGGCTCTGGCATAGAATGGGAAACGTGTTGCAGCCATTGCATTGTCTGCAGAGTTGCTCTGTGAATTTTTAAACATAGCACTTCAAGATAAGCTACAGAACCTGCTTCTAAGGAACCAGCATATCAGCAGGGTAACATTTAAAAGGTTAGCTGATTAGAAGATTCACAAATAACAATGTAATTGGCTGAATGGATCACATGACTGTTAAACTAATTGATGTTTGGTGGGAGATTGAGTAGGTGAGAGCAGTAATACTAAATAATTGCTCATGTGATTCTCTAAACTAAATTGAGAGCTGAAACATTGAATTGTGTAAATAAGTTATAACATCACACAACTTTAATAGTAATAAACTGCTGGATAACAATTCATCAAATAGCTTAAGTTAATTTTTATAGTTAGAATACTCGGATTTCTTTTTTGCAGTAGTAGAGTTATGTTAGGTCTTTAGTAAAAACAAAAACCATCCCTTTTCATTTAATCTAATTAGAACATTCAGATTAAAGCCCTAGTTCATTTTAAGATCTCGAACTGAATTGCTACTAACCTTAGGTAACTGGTAACATGCAACTTTTAAGTAGCTTTTGTAACTACAGCTTTTGTGTAATTTATTTCCTGTTTGTAGGTGGCCTTACAATTAACCAGTTTACAAAGCAATTTGCTGTCTTTTGAGGGGGTTTTGTTAGTAATGTACCTGGAAAAGTAATTATCAAATGTCTCTATATTGGAGGAGAGGGAAGGAATGTTGATATTTTATTTGTAAAGTTGCATTTTGGATATGTTGATGACTGTTACAGTTTTCACTGAAATTATTTGTCTAATCAGGTTGGAAAATGAGGAACAGGTATTAAAACAGTTTTTTAAATGCAGCTTGCTTTTGCTAAATTTAAACATTGTGCTAATGTGACATACAGGTGGTTAATGTTGATTAACTGGATTTGTACATAAGGGAATGCTGAATCATAACTTGATAGTTTTAATGAGATGGTTTCAGTTTATCTGGAATTTAACAATATAATCCTTTTCACTAAGACAACCTAAACTGAATACTGTTCCATAATCTGTCAACGTTAGGCATCAAAAACAAGTCCAACATAAACCTAGACTTGCATTATGTTTGATAATATTAGAATTGTCTGTGTGCATTTTGCCATTTTATTTTTCTTCAATCCTTTCATAATAGATCTTCAAGACAGACCTGCTTCTTCATATGCACAGGGAGCAAGACCAAAAGATAATTCATTGAGCACTTTGAGGCTGAACACATCCATGAACCGCCAGTTGCCTTCTGAACAGCAGCCATCTGTATTCTCCAGAGACTCTAGCAGGAGCTCTTCAAGATCCAGTTATTCTTCAAGGGAAATGGAGTCTCCTCAAAGGAATATACAGCCAGAAGTTACCCCTGTTGCCATTAGAGAGGAAACTCCTTCCACAAGCAGTTCTGAAAGGGTTACTGCTTCTCAGAGGTCACTGAGTGAGCCTACATCCGATCCTGAAGGCAGGCGTACAACCAGACAGCTATTGTCTCGTTTAGCTTCTAGTATGTCATCTACATTTTTCTCACGAAGGTCTAGCCAAGAATCGTTAAATGCAAGATCATTAGATTCTGAGGATTCACGTGTTGTCCCAAGAGTTCAGGCTTCTACCCCGTCAAGTACTAATGCATCTGCAATTCCTGAGGTTCCAGACAGTCAGACATCTGAAGCTTCTCAGGGATTTAGCTTTCTTAGACGAAGATGGGGTTTATCAGGGGTTTCACAAAACCATAGCTCTGATTCAGATGCTGAAAGTTACAGACAAGAGTCTGAAAACAGAAATACAGGGTCTTGGTTATCATCATCTTTAAGGAACAGATGTACACCACTGTTCTCTAGAAGGAGGAGAGAAGGAAGAGATGAATCTGCAAGAACCTCTACCTCTGACATACCTGCCAGGTCATTACACCTTTTCAGGAGAAGAGAGTTAGGTGAAGAAACTCATCTTGAAGCACACAGCAGTTCTTCTGGAGGTGCTTCTAATAGACCACCAACACCTGCAGTATCTGGCAGCCCTACAGCTACTGCCTCCACACCAGATTCAGCCCATGGTAGAAGTAGTTCGGGAATGTCTGGAATTCTACCTGGCTCTCTCTTCCGCTTTGCAATGCCCCCAGCCCTAGGGAGCAGTCTGTCTGACAATCTTATGATAACTGTAGATATTATTCCCTCAGGCTGGAATTTGTCTGATGGGCAAGAAAATGACAAATCCAAAATACCCCCTTCAAGAGATCCTGAAAGACTCCAGAAAATTAAAGAGAGGTAAATCAGATGTATTGTTTCCAAGCCATACAACCTACCTGGATGAATCTTACAAAATGGTTGTTTTAAAGTTTGAAAAGTGCAGTGGAGTTCCCTGCCAGCTATGATACCACCATTTTCTTAAATTGTTTGGGTCACTTTTATATTTGTGGAAATTTATTGAAAGGGTTAGCTTGGAAGAATACTAGGTATATCTCTGTCACATGAATCTGATACAATCACTTTCTTCTTACTCAGCCTCCTTTTAGAGGACTCTGAAGATGAAGAGGGTGACTTATGTAGAATCTGCCAGATGTCATCTGCATCTTCTACAAACCTCTTAATAGAACCATGCAAATGCACTGGAAGTCTGCAGTATGTTCACCAAGAGTGTATGAAAAAATGGTTGCAGTCCAAGATTAACTCTGGTAAGGTAGACTTTAGGATGAGTGCTTTTTCAGATGAAATAGAAAATGTGGCGGGGATTCCAGTGACTTTCCAGTACTTACTGTTGCAGTAAAGTTCAGGCAAATCCTTGTTAATGTAAATGGACAAAGCAGTTGAAGACCATTCTTAAAGGGATTCCATGGCAACTCTTAAGTTTGTCTTTGTGCAAATAAGTTTCAGTATATCACAAAATGCTGGGATTTTCTGATATAGTTCATTGTTGATAGGATTATCTGGTAAAATGTTAAAGTGCTCTAAATATATTTTTATTTACTTACGCATATCTTGGTATTTTGCTAAAGTAGTATACAATTGTGATTATTGTAAGACACGAACAAGGCACAGTGAGACAGAATAAGCAGAACTGTGGAACAATAACTTTTTTATATTGTAAGCTTGCTAAAACATGGGGCATTTATACACACACATTTGTCTGCTTCGACGTGCCAGAAATCCTGCGCATTGGAGCAGACTTGACTAATCAGTGCTGAGAAAATGGCAGTAGTGTGCTTTTGAACTAAAACACCTTTGTGTTAGTTCAAAAGCACTCCGCCACCATTTTTCAGTGCTGACATGCATTTCACCATTTATACAAATGGATATGCTGCAGCGCCAGGCACTTTTAAAAGTGCCTGGAGCTGTGGTGCAAGTGTGTACAAATGCCCATGATGCCCTCATCTTGTGGTATACTGGCATTCAGCATACTCCGAATTTTAAGCTAGTATTTCAGTTGCAGACCACACAAGTGAACATTTTAGGAAACCTTTCTGAAAAAGGGAATGTTCACAGTTTTCAATGTGGTATCGCTGTCCAGAGTTTTTGCTGCTTTGAAAAAACACTGCCATATAAAACTTGTATTTTGATATTTACTGTAGAATTGATACCTATTTTAACTTTAGTTAGCAATCTGAGGGATGTTCTGTTTCAATACACTTCTCCATATTACATGCATATGGATAGCGTTGACAGAGTAACACTTTAAGGACTGTTTTTTGCTGAGTTATAAGAAAAGTTACATTATAATATGAGATGAAACAAGTAAACTTTGCTAGAAGAGTAAGTATTCCATTAGAATTTAACTGTTGGCACCTGTTTGCTACAGGAACTTCAATGCTACTACTATCAGATTTGCTTTCTCTTTTTTCCTAAATTTGGTATAGAAAAGCAAATTAAGAAATGGTCACAGACCATATCATCAAGTTACATGCAACTGTCTAATTCTAAATCCTGTTATAATAGGGGCTGTCATTTTTGTTTGTCAGGTTCTTCACTGGAAGCAGTAACTACCTGTGAGCTGTGTAAAGAGAAGTTGCATCTTAATCTTGAGGATTTTGATATTCATGAGCTCTATAGGGCACATGCAAATGAACAAGTTAGTATATTTTGCCTAATTTGGTAAGTGTCAGGTTGGTGCTGGGAGGACAGCTTTGTTTGTTTGTTTGTTTGTTTGTGATTTTTTGAAAAGAAAAGAAAATCGGATCTCTTTAAAATATCATGGGTTTAATATAAATAAAGCTCACATGCAGAAATTGTCTCCTTTATTGTAACAGAAGGAATAGACCTTGGCTGTAGTTTCTTCTGATGTAGTCCTCAGTAGGTGTGTAGTATATGTAATCTTTTTCAGTTTTGTTGGTCTGTCAGTACCGTTGGTGAAACTGCAGAGGACAAATTATGAACCTAGGAGTGGTTTTGACAGGCTGGAAGTGGTGATCTAGCTTTTGGGTGTGTTTTTTTTTTTTTTTTTAAGCCCAGGTATGCAGACTTAAATGGCCATATTTTATGCATGTCATATAAACGCATGTAGCTCCATAATCTCTTATTCGACTAGTAGAGATTAAACTGATATTAAATTTCACCCCAGTGCTGCTCTCTCCCATCTAGATGAAAGGAAATTAGGCCTTGAAATAGTCATTCACAAGTTTAAGATAACACACATTTTAGCCAGAGTATGATTTTTCCTCTTTTTAAAGCATCATGAGAATCTTTAGTGCATGGTTTCTACTACTACTAGGTAGCATAGTTATGGTTTAGAGGAACTGCTAGGAAATTACAACTTTGATCAGAGGTCTTTCTTGTTTTTTCTAACTTGATACTTTGTGATTATAGCAAAACTTCAGTTATAAGTATTTTATGAATATTAAAAAATAAACTAGAACCCTCAATGTAATTTTAAATATGGAGGTAAAATACCCAATTTTTGGATGACAAGGAAATGGAGGATTGACATTTGAGTAATTCATACTCTGAATCAGATGTCAAGCTAGACTGTTATTCATCAACAGAATAAAAGCATACAGGATTATCAATGAGCCCCAAATTGCTTGGGTCAAATGAACCTATGACTGAGTGGTTGAGAGTAAGATCACCATTCAATTCAGTGATATTACTTCTCTGAGTAACTGAACATCAGCAGGCATAGTAGATCTGTCCTTATCTACTGACTCTTTAAATAGCTAGTAATTGCTTAGCAAGTAATATTTTAGATTTTTTTTTTTATTACTTTGAAACTCTTTTCTCTACCAGTAACTACCAGAAATATTGGGAAATAAGTAATATAGTTTCCCCTCTCTGTTAATGTAATTGCATGTTTCTCCTGTTATCTTTTAATGGCTTGGCAGTAGGGAGTCCGGAGGGCTTTTACTTTCTGCTCTTCAGCTCTGAACTTAAGCTAATAGTTTTTGGATCTGTGAAGGAGGCCTTTTAAGATGTAAGACTGATCCTCAAATCCTTTGACTTCAGTGGAAATAGTTGTGTGAGTAAAGTCTATTTTCATGAATAAAAGTCTGGACGTCAGGCCAAAATATAGCTTTTAATTACAATTTTTCGGGTATGCTTTGTCACAAGCACATTGAGATCTCTGCAAGCTTCTACATCTATTATCCTTCCATGACACACTACCAGCAAGACTTGACACTAGTTATGCTTTTCAAGTTGCTTATGCAAAAAATGGGACTGACATTTCGGAATTTTTTTCTAGGCAGACTATGAATTTATCAGTTCTGGTCTCTACCTTGTAGTGCTTTTACATTTGTGTGAACAACGCTTTTCTGATATGCTGGGAACTGCAAGTGAGGCCAGTACACGTGTTAGGGTAAGTCTGTCTTGTTTTGTGGGAATAACTGATGGTGTCATATTGCTGTTCCTACAGTGTTACCTAAGACATCCTTGCTGTGGTGATAAACTTACATTTGAAGCTCTTTTTATATATATAGGCAAAAGAATAAATAACATTATTTGTGTGTGTGTATCTCTTAAGATTTTAATCTAAAATTTGGTCCAAGAGCATCTAGCAAAATGGTGCCACAATCTGATTGTAGCAGTGCTACTGTAATACAAATATGGAAACAATGGTATGATGTAATTATAGGTAATCCAGAAATTTTCTAAACAACATCTGATGGTAGGTTTACATTTCAGAATATCTGAATCTTGTGTGACCTGTATTGAATTACTACATTATACCAGAGTGATGATACCCTTGATTAGAGTGCTATACCTGAACCTCTAAACATTTTATAGAGTGCAGTTCAAGAATTAATTAGAGGAAACTTTTATTGGTCATACTGTGGTCAAGCAAGAGTTTACTAGTAAGCCAGTGTCATCCGTAGTTATTTTTCCAATTAGAATATGTTTCATGCAGCAAACTAGTATCTTGTTTGAAGTAGTTTGGTATTGGATAATAGAAAAACCAAATGAGCCAATGAACAGCTAATTTCTTCGTCTTTTCAGATATGTGCCCTTGTTTCAGGAAACATTCAAATTCTGAAAACACATGACAATATTGATTTTTATTTTGGACTAGGTTGTACTTCTACACACAAACCTTTGGGACAGGAAATTTATTTGTCCATAATGTGCTACTGTGCAGAGCCATCTACACTTAGTGCTATGTGTTATATGGACAGTGTTGCCACAACAGTTTTCAATTTCTGGCTTGTTGAATGTGGTTTTGATGGTAGTTGTTCTGTAATAGCAATGTAAATTTATTACTAAAAGCTTAGGCTGAGATTTTTTTCAAAGCTGCCTAGGAAATGTGTGCCCACTTCTGAGAAGTAATCCCTTAATAACCTTTTTCTTAAATATTGAGTATTAAGGCTAGCATTGGCAGGTTATTTTTACTGAATAGTTCAACCTTATATTTACTGTAGGCTAGATAATTCCTTTATCTACCCTGTCTTCAGTGAACTGGGCTCTACTTACCCATAAAATACCACCATATTCGCATGAAAGTATGTGGAACTGGTTCAAACCATGGAGTCATCGCTAATTAAATCAGCTTTTATCAAGTTACATTTTGCATTGTTAGCAACTTTAGGAAGCAAACATGTTTGTTTAGCTTTTGCTATTCCCGTTACTACTGATGTCTGTTTGACTCTTGAACTAGACATGTTTTACAGAGTATAGAGCATGAAGATTACATCTTTAAATTATGATGCAAATTTGCAATGTTTAATCTGCTTTTTCTGCCTTGTTTCCAGTTTATTAACCTTGCAAGAACTCTTCAGGCACATATGGAAGATATTGAAAGTAGGTTGCTTTTTCTCCTATTTGTTCAATTTCACTAAGGTTACATCAGCATAATCCTTTTTGCTGAATGTATAGTACCAAACTTCAATGCTGAGACCTGATTTTTATGAATTCATAGCACTGGGTTTTTTTGATCGAATTCTATTGGAATAATTTTGTAAAGGGAGCAGGAAGTGGGGGGAGGTAAATTGGCATCTAGATTAAAGGCTAATGTTGCTTTTCCAAAGGTGGTATACAGTCTTACGGGGAACAGTTATTTTTATAACTATGGAGCTGACTTCTGTAACTGAAGTCTTAGCATAACAATATTACCAGGTTTCTTTACTAAATAAAGACCTGTTGATCTCAATGGGTGCATCTATACATGTGCTTTACTGCGGAGTTGACTAAGTAGCTCTGCAGTAAAGCGTCAGTCTACATGTACTGGTATTAAGATGCAGTAAATTAATTAACTCCACCACAGGCTTGTACTGTCAGGGACAGTACTGTCTTAAAGCAGAGTAAATTTACTCTGCTGAAACACGTATAGACAGTGACCAGGGCTGACTGGGGTACGAGGGTGCTAAAGTGATGGGGCTGCCTGCCACCTAGCCCTGCACCTTAGTACCTGTGTGCCTCCACTGCCCAACTCTGCCGCCCAGAGCTGACGTCCTGGATCCTCTACCAGCCTTGTGTTACTCCACGCCAGCTCAAGTTCTGTGGTCCTGGGCAAATGTGCAGATGCTTCACCCACAAGCATTTTGCACTGGAGTTTATCATGCTGCATTAATTGCACATGTAGATGCACCCAGTAACTGGTCATTTGTTTGTTTCTGTATATCTAAATGTTGTGTTTAGCCATGATGGGGGAGAAAGAAAATAATTTTCTGCAAATTAATGTATCAGCCTCACTATTTAAGTGCATGGCTTTATATAAAAAAAACAAAATCTAGGTTATAGTACATAAATAGGATTGTTTCAGTTCAAGCTATACTCAGAGTAGAACAGAGATGTATTTCTTTTGTGTACAATGAACACATTTTAATTTTGTTCAGTGAGAATTAATTTACAAATGTACATGTTCATTTTTTTTAGTTCTTAACTAGCTAATGCTTTTCTGTAATATCGGTAACTGCAGGATGTTGGGCTTTTTAAAGAAATGTACTTTAACAGGGAACAAGAATCCTAAAAATACATACAAGTGAATTTTAGAATGAATCTTGTTTATGAGGTTGAGTTTAATTTAGAGCTAGTTAATCTGAAAGCTGATTATCATTTGACATACACATTGAGTTGGGAACACTGAAATTACGATGAAGGAAAACCCAATTAATACCCCCTTTTCAAAAAGAAAAATAAGAAAATGCAGTTTTTGAAGGCAAGAATTAACCCAGGCTTCCTTCTCTAACTTTCTTATAGCTAATGCTGAACAAGCTTCTTGAATGTACATAAATTACCCAAAAGAGTGCAGAATTCCAAATCTTGTATGCACAGGTTCCTAAGCTACCTTCCAGTGAGGATTTCTGAAAATAAATCTGAAGTATGCCCCATGGAAGCATATTAGCCAATAAACAATAACAGACATTTGTAGTTATGTGACTACAAATTAGTTTATCCCAGGTGGTTCAAGTGATTCCTGATCACAGGCATCCTAGACCACTCTCTGTTTAAATGTTAGGCAATGCATCTTTCTGTGTTTTTCATAACTGACATCTATATATTCTTCCACTTTTTCCATCAAGGAAATCCTACCTAAATTTTACTGTGGTTTTTTTACAGAATTTACTTAATAGTGGAGAAAAAAATGGGGAATTGATTACATCTAGTCAGTGAGAAAGCAAGGCTGTGATTGGGCTTCATTAAATTACCAGTTTTCTAAAGCATCATTTCAATATTAGGATACTGGTATTTTTCAAATACTTCAGAAATACTTGAGGGTTAGTTATACAGTAAATTTTTCTCTCCCTCTTGGGTCTCTAACGTGTACTTCTGTACTGTCCCTTGTAGCCTGCTGTTAAGTCAGAAAGAGCAATGAACAATTTAATCTGAGGCATAAAACAGTGCAGTTTCTTTTTGATTCTTTTAAACCAGGGGGAGCTACACCGGATGTCTGTGCTGAATTTGTTTCTACAAGCCTGTATTTCAGATTGGGGGAAATAGATAAGAAAATGCATTTTACAATATATGATTTTCTTTTCTTTGGGTTTAAACTAAAAACTGCTTAGATGCTACATTTTACAGACCTTTAATAAAGGCTTTTGATTGTATTGTATTATTCCAACAGCTTCTGAGGATGATTCTGAAGACTGATGCTGGTCGAACTTTTGACACTTCTTAAAGTTGAAAGAAACAAATGGAATTGCTGGAAAGATGGTGAATTGGCAAGAAAGTACCATCAATGTGCATTTATTTTTTGCTTTCTTTAGTAAAAAACACATTGAATATTACTATAGTTTTAAAAGCATTGTTGAATTCAAAATCTGCTGCACACTGGAACACAATGAATACAAAAACTATTCAGCATGTGCAAGTTAGATACACAAAGCTGTTTCCTCTTTAAGATGACACTGAGGGATGCTATGCTTTGTCTGGAAAGATACCAGATTTTGAATGTTTGAGGAACTCAGATCTTGCTTTGTTACTTTCTTCCTGTAGTCAGATTTCTGATTTTGTCTATCAAGTTTTGCTTCTCTGCTGGCACTAAGTGGTAATTGTGGGTTTTGGGGTGGAGGGTGGGGAGCCATGTACTTAAATAGCATACATTTTCCTTTTAAGAAATGCCTGTGTTAGTCTCTCTCAGTTGCTTCCAGTGTTAACATAGGATGAATGAGGGGATGAATGGCTACTGTAAAGCTACGATGTTTGGTTTCCAAATTTTATTTGAAGAGTGTTTAATTCAAACAGCAATAAGACTTGCAAGGGGCCTCTAATATTTAGTGTTGATGATGGCTTTTTTATGTACTGATTTGGAAATTGGAGATTATATTTGATATTATGTGGATATTCCAGTAAGGAATATTGCAGCGGTAACCATGCATTTCAGCATTCCTGGCAGAAATGCAACTTGATAACATTTAAAATCTTAACTAAGCTGTTTAGTTTAACAAATATTTTTTAGATCCCACATTCACTGTTAAAGCACTGGTTATCTATGTGTTTTCTAGTGTTGTCACTTCTTTATAAATAAAGATAATGATGAGATGCACACTACTGCTCTGTCATTTTCCTTTTTTAACACAGATATTTTGGAGCAGATATATGGTGCAGCTGTCTTGCTAATTTAAAATGGTAGAAAGTAGGAGTGCACCAATAAATCGGTTGGGTTATCAGATCAGCACCAGTAAAAAGAGAAATGATGTTATTGGCTATCAGCTTTTTTGGTCATTGTAGCTGATAATTAAGGCCACGTACCTGGAGCACCCTGGTGAGCGTAGTTCTGTTGCTGGCCCAAACCTATGGCAGACTACAGGTCCCAGCAAGCAGTGGGAGGGGGAGGGGGACCTGGGATTCAGTCACAGGGCACTGTACTCTGCAACAAAGGGACGGTTACTGGCTCTTGCTGCTGCCACTGCCATGCAACACCATGGGTGCAGAAAGGGCATGAGCACCCAGGGCTGCTGTGGAGACATTGGGCTGTGTGCAGGCAGGGGGAGACACAGCCATATGAGGGACATTCTGCTCTGACAGGTACCTTTGCAAAAGTGGCTTTGGGACTTTGGCTGTGTGGGGTTCGCCAGTGCTGAGACGGTGGTGTCCGTGCTGAGACAGTGGTGTGCTCGGGGGCTCTAAATGCACCTGGTGCTACTGTCCATGCGAGGGTCTGCCCTGCCTGCCCAGGACGGCAGCATAGACTGCGTAGGGAGTGGGGCTGTGGGTAGGAGCTGTGGGCAAGGGGGCGATATGCATGAGAATAAGATGGTCACCACCTTCCTCATTCAGGACGGGAGCAGGCAGAAGGCGTGTATGCACATTATAAATACAAAACAAAAATAAGGTTTATTTATGTCAGTAGTTTAAAATGCCTTGCAATATTACTAAATATCCATTATTGGATTTGGCATCAGCCAGTATGGTTGGTTAATCATTGGCTATCGATATCAACCAAGAAAACCTTTATTGTATGCATTTTCTACTAAGGGTGCACCAACTTTCCTTCCAAATCTGGTTTGAATATTCTGTGTATTAAATGTAGCTTTATTTGAGAAGTGTATAAAAATACTACTACTATCTACCTAGAGGTGCAAAAAACATATTGATTGTTACACAGATGTGGTAGCCTTTTCTGTAGCTGTGTTGCATTAAGCAAGTGAGTGGTACTCAATCACTGGCCCAGGGGGAACAGTAAAGAGCAAAGTAATGTGCTGTGGGCAACATCATACTTTGTTCTTCATGCCAACTTCTTTCCTATTTCTACTTCTCTTACCTTGTAGCTAATGATAGTAGCTTGGAATTAAGACATTAGTGACCCTGGGGTTGTAGACTACAAAGCTAAATTAAAATTATTTTTTATTTGATTAAAATCTAATCCAGTACTGGAAAAAATGGCACATTTATTGTCCACAAACCTGTCTTTCTATTAGTGGTAGATAATCTTATTTCCATAATGAAAGCGTGTACACCAGATAGAATGGGGTGAATGCCATGTCCAGAGTGTATATGCTATAAGTCTTCCTGAGATAATATTACAAGTGGAAATTTTTCCTTCAAATTCAATTTTTAAGTACATCCAGTGTCTACTACTTTGGGAACAAGAGATGGAAAAATACCTGTTGGATCATTTTGGGAATTCTGCTGCTAATCCAAGATAATTCTTGATACCATTTAGATGAGTGACATGGCTTCTTCTGAGAGACTATAATTTGGTACCATTATTACCAAATAATGGTATCATTATTTCTGATAATCTGATCAACCTAGATTTCTCAATTTATTCCCTGACACACTTGTATGCTTCATTGACTAACCCTAAATTCATCCTCTTCCAAAATGATACCCAAGAAAGTGTCAACAATTTTACCATTTTCATGGCTCTCTTCTTAAATACCCTCCAATTCATATTTACAATGAACACCACTAAACTATGAGTGTTGTAGGTCTTACTATAATGAATACTCAAAGGCCTTTTAGGACTTGGCACTATTTCATTGCTTTCCTACCACATGCTGCTGCTCTAAGCATCTCTTCTACTGATTATTTTAAACCTCATTAATCAATATATGCAACTACCATTGCCTGACATCATCGCATGCTATTCTGTTAACCTGCCATTATCCAAAGGAAACACTTAAAATGATTATAGCCCAAACTAATTTAAGTTGACAGTAGATTTAAATGTTTCTTTACCAGTGTTTTATCCAGTTTTAACAAAAATAAACATCTAGCTTTCATTTCCACTGATTCTATATTTCACTCATCTTGAGCAGATTAAGTGTAGTCTGCCTCTACTGAGGTTTGCTATGTCTTGCTGTATGGTCATGATATGCTTCCCATAAAACAACATACCCTTTATGTTTGCAGTCATTCAACAAGAGTTGACTCTGTCACAGCCACTTCATGAACAACATGATGGAAGGCATGGAACAGCATTCCAGGGTAATCAGGGTAATGGCACAGGAAGGGTTGTAGGAATGAGTCAGTAATGTTTGTGCAGTCTAGATTTTGTAGCTTGATTTTTTTTTTTTTTTTTTGAGGAGACAGCTGTGAGAGTTGAGATTAGATTAAATCACTTAAGGAAGTTAATGGCGAGAAGGAGAGCCCATGGAAGACCAGGAATGGCAAAAGACTTGGAGATAACCAATCCACAGCCACTTACTGAACTTCCTACTACTGCCACCATCTTCAGAAAACTTTTATCTAGGCACAGGGATTTCAACAGGTTTCCAGTATCTGTTAAAAGCCAATGATATTTAAATCAGTGGTAGTCTAAAGAACGCCTAGAGTATGGCCATAGAAACATGCTCTTCTTTACTGACCTTTGTTTGGTGTGCGGCAAATCTACCTGCTCCAATGGTCTTCTAGCACCAGCTCCTTTGCTTCACAAAGATGTGGTCCTCTCTTCAGAAGTCCTGATTTAAGGTTTCAAAAAAAATCAAGGTACAAAATCTAGACTGCACAAACATTACTGACTCATTCCTACAACCCTTCCTGTGCCATTACCCTGGAATGCTGTTCCATGCCTTCCATCATGTTGTTGCCTCACTTTTTCCACTCGGATTCCCTTTCTATTCTCATTATGCTCCTGGGGTTCATGTTATTTGCTGAACCTCACATGTCAGTCTCTCTCTCAAAACACACTGGTCTTTTTAAAACCAATTTAAAATGTTAGATGAAATGTTTTAAATATCACCATACCTGGCCCTACATAAATGCAGTCTGTTGCTCCACTCTTTTTTTTTTTTTTTAATTCTGTACAGGACTTTATACCTTTGCAGAAACCATTGCAGTTTGTGTCAAGTGCAATGACTAAAGCGCACACAGAAAATGGTGGCAATACAATACAATAACCACAGTGCCACGGAGCAGCATCCCCAGGGGTGGCCATGGTATCCCTGGTGGATCCATGACTGTGCTAGTTCCACCCTAAGGGCACCTTCTTGCTTCACCTACCATCTTGTTGGTAAAATAAGCCAGGAGGCTGCCCATGGGCCTTTGCTTGGTCTTGGTCTGCTGAACCCTACTTAAGCTCATTGGTCTTCAAGTCTTTTTGCTGGGCCTGTCTTTAGTACTGTGCTGCACGGGGCACCTCAGGCCTTATGGGCCAATTGCATGGATCCAACCTCTCTTTTACCACACCCCATGCCTTGTGGGTGTTACACAGTTGTTATACCCTCTGTCGAGGCCTCTGCCTACTCAGCTTCTGCCCCTTATACAGCTAGGCTTTTTGCCTAGATCCACTATGTCAGGCCCAGCTTTGAGGCACTAGCTCTCATCAATCTCCTCATGTCACCAGAACCCTGGCCCTTGTCTGCTGTTCCCCCCAGGCGCTGGGCTTCACAATCAGGTGCCCTTCTCTGGGCACTAACAAGGCCTCCTCCTCCCCTTATAGCCTCATCCCAAAACCACCAGTACAAATAATAATACAAACATAAGCCCCTGGGCTATAGCATAACCACAACCATAAAGGTAGTGCTCTGCCCATTTAAGGGGGCAAACTTCAACCCTTAGGATTAGCCCTAGGTACCCTGTTAGCTCCTAGAGTCCTACTATGCTTGGAGATGGCAAAGCAGGCAGTACAATGTCTCAGGTAACTCTCTTGTGCAGGAGCAACTTCCCCTGGATGTGGCCAGGAAAAAAATGAACCTGCCAGCCTCAGCCCTGAGCTTATGTTCCCTGGGCTCTGACTCCTTGATTGCCTGCAGGTGCCAGCTAATTACCTTGTTAACCTGTTACTCAGGGAACCTGCAGCTGTGGGGCTCTGTGTAGCCTGTCCCCCACTCCTTTGCTAAACTGCTTTTGCCCTTAAAGGAACAGGCACACCTTAGTGCCCTGAGACGCACATATTGCAGCGATCTGTTTATATACGTTAAAATGGGTGGAAGTTAGCCAGCAGAACTCTAACAAATAGTTAATTCTATCTCTAAGAGTCCCATGAACAACCCTGTGTAGAAAAGGATAACCACACACTGAAGTGGGTAGAGACTGGCATATTTTCATTGGTTTCTATACAGTGCAAACTAGTTACTAATTCTGTAGTCGCTGAAGATAAGCACAAGGCATGCAGATGGCTATCCAGCAGCCAACAGCACTGAAACATGATCAACACAAATAGACCCTCTTTGCTGTCCAACTTAATATGGATTTAAGGATCTGACTACAAATATCAAATTTGAGGGTCGGGACCATGAATTACACTTCAATCATGTAGTTAGAGTCTAAATAAGAGACCTTTTTGAAAAGCTGGACTCAGAATTCTAACTGCAATCAAATAAAAATGTGATTTTTTTTCCAAATTCTTTTTATAAGTTACCATCAAACAACTAAAATGTATGTTGCTTAAAATTATTTACTACAATATTTGAATTATAGCTCATCTTTAACAAGCCCTGTAAGGCTAAATAGTTTCAAATTCAGACTGTATTTGAGCTGGACACAAGTTAATATAACTTGTTTCTATGTAATCAGTAACTCTTTGAATTAGGACCAGTGCAAATACACTCAAAGTTTTCAGCAACATTAATTCCAAATTAACCATTTTTTCCAAATGTGTTTTACTAAAATATTCACAGGAATGAAAAAGGAGATCATGAACAAAGATAATTTTGTTTTTAAAAAAAACCTTCTTTATAGAAAACTGCAGAATTTGAAGTTTTAACATCTGTGATATAATTAAATGCTTACTCCTTTCAGAATGTCACATCACTAAATCAGACAGTGAAATACTGCAATATACAGTCAGTATACTTTATGAATATGAATGCTTGACAGCCCCATATGAGATACTCTGATGTTCGTCTTAAATCATCTTTTCTATCCATTTCCTAACAACAGCCAGCACATTACCGACATGAGCAAAGTTATGCACATATTTAAGTAGTTGTACGTCTGAAACAAATCTGAAACAGATGACAGGTTGTCACTTTTTGGTATTTAAATATGAAATTTTACAGTGATTTTAAATTTAAGCAGAATATTCATTTTCTTCTGCATCTACAAGAACAGTTTCATCACTGTATGGTACTTGAGCTGTTGAATGGCGTGCTGTACATGAAGGTCCAGAAGCAGAAGAAATACCTCTTTTGCATAGGTACCAAACTGCAGCTGTAGAAACTATCATGACTATAGTAAAAATTACAACCACAGTGGTTGTTAAGGCACTTTTACCTGAAACAAAAAAAGATAATTTAAGTGGTTGTTCATATACAAGATTTTTATACTAACAGATAAATGAATTATGTAATTGGCAAATTTATTACAGTGCAGGTAATAAATGAACTGCATACCTATACCACATGTTCAATGGCATAGAAAGGACTGGGATTATTTTGAAAATTTCCTAAACTGTTGTCCTTTTCCTTATCTCTCATTAACTTTTTGCTTTAGTTGTAGTTTTTATTATCATTTGTTGTTCGTCCTCTGCGGGCAAAGATGACCGCATCCGGTGGGGAGGGGGAGAAGAGAGAAAAGAAATGGGAAAGAAACAGGGAGGGAGACCAGAGAAAAGAAGAAAAAAGGAAAAAGGAGAAGAAAGAGAAAGAAGGGGGGTGGAAGATAGGTCGCGTGGGTACGTAGGTGACTTATAAGCCTGATCTTTGCCTTGAATTTTACCATTTAATTGCTTCACAAAATCCTAATAATGAAACTTCCTTTTACATACAAATTCTCAATACAATTTTCTGAAGTTCTTTAAACAAGTCAGTATTTTGAAATCAAAAGGCATAATCTATGCTGGGAAAAAATCAAACCTTTTCCTAAAATAGTGAACATTCCCTGTGGCAGAAGTATTTTCCAGCCATGTTTTCATTATCCCAGAGATAAACTAACATGGTGGAAGACTGGCTATTTGTTTTATGGTTTTTTGGTGGCCTCTCTTTGGGAAAGAAATTTCTTGGGAAACCTGTATTTATAAATTTATCAGTGAACTCAACCCATAATGTTGGTGCTCACTACCAAGAAATCTACTTTTTATGCAAGATGTAAAAAAATAAAATTAAATTAAAGCACCAGATCTTGTGCCTTTCTTGGTAAATGGAAAATGCAGTAGTTAGAGCACTGGACTGTAACTTGTCTCATGAATACTGTAGGGCAGGGGTATCAAACTCATTTGGCCCTGTGGGCACGGGACTGATTTGCGCACATAACATGCACCAGGCTGTCTCCACACATCCCATACAATGGGATGTGGGCCGGCATGTGCTGTATGTAGCATGCGGAATTCAGTCCAAGAAACACAGGCAGCACTGTGGGCCTGATGACAGAGCTACCATCCAGCCCATATCTTTGACACCCCCTACACGCCATGCTATATGGAAACGGAATGAGTTGTTGCAAACTTTAGTCTAATTCTTTCCCTTTTATCCCCTTCCAAGCCTATACCAGAGTTTAGGTGGCCCCCAAGAGAAGTGAGTAGGGCCTTCCCTCAAGGGAGTTATTTGTCCTATCTCCAATGAGACCAATTCACTTGGGGTTTTTGGAGATATGGCTAAATCATGATCACACAGATCTAATAGGTTGTATTAAGGTTTCAGATCCGTGTAAATACAGAATAAATCCATTCAAAACAATGGAAGTTGCTTCAGTTTCACAAATATGCACGAGGAGGATTTGGCTTTGATTAAAGTCCCCACAGAGGACACATGAAAATAATTATACCAGGTATATTTAAGTTGCTGGCTAAATTCATACATAAAAAGTCCATTCCTCCCAGAAATACCAATGTGACTACTAGTTTTTTTCTGATACTTCTGTTAACTGTGTCACATTTTTGTTATATTTTCAGGTCACCTACTTAGTCTGCAGAAAAGGAGGGGTTAAGTGCCAAGGCTGGCCCCTAGACCAGTGGTTCCAAAACTCTCACAGACTGTACACCACCAATTTAAAATGATACAACCTTATGTATCACCAGTAATTTTTTGTCATATAAAGTAGTTACAACAAATCTGATAACGCATACCACTGACAGGTTGTCTGCATACCACTAGTGGTACCTGTACCACAGATTGGGAACCGCTGCCCAAGACAGATGGCTCTTTAGTATCTACAGCTGTGAATTGTGAATGGCTGTGCTGGCCTATCAACACAGGTGAGATAGCCAACACCCAGGAGGGTAGGGACGATAAACATGACAAAAGGCAGAGCAGGCTGGATAAGGCAGTCTGGCAGGTTTAGGGCCAGAAGAGTCTTTGGGGAGCTGGAGAGATTAAAGGGAACAGCTGAGTATCTTTGGGGAGTAACTCAGGATTGCGCAGGCTGGATTGGGGACAAGAGGGACTGCTTTGGAAAGGACACAGAACTTCTGACTAGCTGGCATTTACCCCAATAAATGCTCTGACTGAAGAGACTGTCTGCTGTGCTGCATGGAACAGTGTGGTGCACTGGGTCACACTAAAAGGAGGTGAAGTCCCTCTCAGGAGTAGAACTAGATGCTAGCCTCTTGAATCACAGCACAGAAAACCAGGGAAGGTGATGGATAGCAAGACTGGGATCTCAGAGTGGGAAGGAGCTCAGGCTCCCCTCCTTGTTCTAAAAGCCAAGCCTGAGCTGATTTCAAGGGACTCCTCAGAGACTGGACAAAGCTCTAGTGGCATCCCCTTGGAGGGCTCTCTGTGGCAACCTGCATAAATCATTTTATTAGAACTTTCAGTGAGAGGAAGTAGCAGCTAACTTCCACCCTTTGGATTTAGGAAACGAATGCTTTTGGATATTTACATTTTAGAATGTGTTCAGCAAGTTGTTAGGGTTGTTGGTAGTCGTGTTGATCTAAGGACATACGCAGACAAGGTTCTTTGGGTAAATGTGATATATCTTTTATTAATCCAAATAAATAGTTGGAAAAAATGTTCTTTGCAAGCTTTCGGGCACAAACAACCTTCTTCAGGCATATCGAGACTCTGTGATCTCTTCTGAGTAGAATAGAAGCCCAAATGCAAAATGCAGGTCTGTGAAATGCAAATGCCTGGCAGTGAGGATCAGAAGGGTGGAAGACAATAGTGAGACACAGGAAAGGAGGGGGGAAATGGGCAATGTTGAACTGGTGATAGAATGTAGCTTCTAAATTGCAGACAAGTTACCTGGGGTTATCAGATGTCAGGCAGGTTATAATGTGCCATAAATTCAACATCTATATTTAGCCCATGATTTTTTGCATCCAGAAGATTTATGAAGTGAAGTGTGTAGGCTAGTCTGTGAAAGGTGTTTTGTAAATTCCCTTTGAGGATTAGAACTGAGATTGGAGACAGAGTCATTGTCTTGTGAGAAGTCTGCACCCACAGATAGTTGGGTATTTGTGTCTTTGATAGATTTTCAGTGTGCGTTCATTCTGGTGTGCAGCTGTTGTTTGGTTTCTCCTACGTATTTTCCATCAAGGCACTTAGTGCACTGGATGAGATGTATTACATTTCTGGAGGTGCAGATGTAAGATCCAGGAATGGTGATGGTTCTGTTGTGGGATGTAGTTATTGTAGGGGTGGTAGTGATGTGTTGGCAGGTTTTACATTCCCTGGCATGGTCTGGATCCATTCGGTGTGCTTTGGGCCATAGGAAGTTTGCTTCTGGTGATGAGGTTAGTGAGGTTTGGTGCTTGTTTAAAGTCTAGGATGGGTGGTTCTGGAAAGATCTCTTTAAGAACTGGGTCTTCTCCTAGTATGGGTTGCAACTGTTTGAGGATTTTCCATATAGATTCCAGGGAAGGATGGTATGTCATCACTAACGGTGTGCAATTCATAGGGATTTTCTTTTTGTACTGCAGTAATTCTTCACGTGGTATCTGGGTGGCTCTTTCAAAAGTGCAGTCTGTCTCTCTGGAGGAGTGTCCTTGTTGGTTGAAAGCCCTTTTGAGATTTGTGAGATGACAATCGTGGGTATTCTCCTCAGTGCAAACTTGGTGGTATCAGAGGGCTTGACTGTACATTACAGCTCTCTTGGTGCGTTTAGGGTCATTGATGGTTCTTTGTAGATATGTATATTGATCCCTGGGTTTCTTGTATATGGTGGTTTGTGTTTTACCATTCTGAATATTGATCATACTGTCTCAAAAGGAAATGCTTGTGCTGAAGTATTCAAGAGAGAATCTGCTGGAGTGGGGATGGTTACTAAATTTGTGATGGCAATCAATCAGAGACTGCAGGTTTTTGGTCCAAATGATGGAGCATCTATATATCTTAGATATAGCATGGGTTTGATGGTACAGTTCTTGAGGAATTCTTTGGGTCTTAAAGATATTACCCAATGTACCTGCTTCATCCTCACACACAACAACTTCTGTTTTAACAACCAACACTTCCTCCAGACCATGGGCACAACTATGGGCACCAAAACAGCCCCAAAATAAGCCAACCTTTTCATGGCCCACCTGGAAGAAGAATTCCTCAAGAACTGCACCATCAAACCCACAATTCACCAGCAGACTCTTGATATTCCTGAAGAAGGGTGTCTGTGCCCAAAAGCTTGCAAAGTACAATTTTTCCAACTATTTAATTTGTCTAATAAAAGATATTACATTTACCCAAAGAACCCTGTCTGCTTTCAAGAAGTTGTTACATTTATATTATGGTTGATTATGGTTAGTTGTAACCTGTTTGGCCTCACTGAAATAAGCAGCCCAACCCATATACTTGGTAGTAACAGTATTCATTTAATAGGAATAACAATTGTTTCAGAGCATTCTTTTTATATCCTGAATCAATCCAGATACGATTAAAGCTAGGTGTACATTAGGAGCACACTTGCACTGACACTCAACAAAGAACTCCTGTATTATACAGAGTGGTAACAAACATGCTGATGTAAAGGGACAAAATAAATCCCCATTTTAAAACGCTTTAAGACATTAAAATTCTGTTTTCTCAACAGGTATAAAATCATAGATTTCATAGACATTAGGGCTGGAAGGGAACTCGGAAGATCATCGAGTCCAGCCCCCTGCCCAAAGGGCAGGAAGTCAGCTGGGGTCATAGGATCCCAGCAAGATAAGCATCCAGTTTGCTCTTGAAGGTGTTCAATGTAGGCGCTTGAACCACCTCCGGTGGCAGGCTGTTCCAGACCTTGGGGGCTCGGACAGTAAAGAAATTCTTCCTTATGTCCAGCCTGAAACGGTCTTGTCGTAGTTTATGACCATTCGACCTAGTCGTCATCCCTTGGGGCGCTGTGGTGAACAAACATTCCCCCAGATACTGGTGGTCACCCCTGAAAAACTTACATCCCCATTATGGTAACATTCACCACCACCCTGTGATTGTGTGTACTGTCTGCTGCTGGTGAGTACCAAAACTGTCTTGTAAAAGTGGTACAAATAGGTCTGGGGGTCAGTACAGCTGAGGTCTTTGAACGTATCCTTATTTCATAGATTTCCTGGATTTCATAGACATTAGGGCTGGAAGGGACCTTGGAAGATCATCGAGTCCAGCCCCCCGCCCAAAGGGCAGGAAGTCAGCTGGGGTCATAGGATCCCAGCAAGATAAGCATCCAGTTTCATCTTGAAGGTGTTCAATGAAGGCGCTTGAACCACCTCCGGTGGCAGGCTGTTCCAGACCTTGGGGGCTCGGACAGTAAAGAAGTTCTTCCTTATGTCCAGCCTGAAACGGTCTTGAAGTAGTTTGTGACCATTCGACCTCGTCATCCCTTGGGGCGCTCTGGTGAACAAACGTTCCCCCAGATGCTGGTGGTCACCCCTGATAAACTTGTAGGTGGCCATCAGATCACCCCTGAGCCTGCGCTTTTTCAGGCTAAAGAGCCCCAGGGCTCTCAGCCTGTCATCGTAGGGTCTGCTTCCCTGACCTCTGATCATGCGCGTGGCTCTTCTCTGGACTCTCTCAAGCTTCTCCACATCCTTTTTGAATTGTGGAGCCCAAAACTGGACACAGTACTCCAGCTGCGGCCTCACTAAGGCCGAGTACAGGGGGAGAATGACGTCCCGGGATTTGCTTGAGAAGCATCTATGGATGCAAGCCAGCGTTTTGGTCGCTTTACTAGCCGCCGCATCGCATTGCAGGCTCATGTTCATCTTTTGGTCAATGATGACCCCCAAGTCTCTTTCTTCCATAGTGCTAGCCAACATAGCACTGCCGAGCCTATAAGGATGCTGCGGGTTTTTTTTCCCAAGGTGGAGAACCTTGCATTTATCGGCGTTGAACACCATCAGATTCTCGTCCGCCCACTTGCTGAGCCTGTCCAGGTCAGCCTGGATAACCTGCCTGTCTTCTGGTGTGGATGCTTTGCCCCAAAGTTTGGTGTCATCGGCGAACTTGGCCAGTTCTGATCGCTTCTGACTCCAGTGTCCACATCATTAATGAAGATGTTGAACAGTATGGGTCCAAGGACAGAGCCTTGGGGGACCCCACTGGTCACAGGACACCACGATGAGTGACTTCCATCGATTACTACCCTCTGGGTCCGACCCCGGAGCCAATTTTCCAGCCAGTGGATCGTGGAGGACCCAAGGCGACAATTGGCCAGTTTCTCCAAGAGGCGATCATGGGACACCAGATCGAAGGCTTTTTTGAAGTCAAGATATATGACATCAATCTCTTCTCCCTTGTCCAGGTGATAGGTCACCTGGTCGTAGAAGGAAATGAGATTGGTCAAGCAAGACCTACCCGCAACAAACCCGTGCTGGCTATCCCTTAAGATGTTGGCGTCGGCCAGTCCATTAAGGATGGCCTCTTTAATAAACCTTTCTAAGATCTTCCCCGGGATAGAAGTCAGGCTGATGGGCCTATAGTTAGCCGGATCCACTTTCCTCCTTTTCTTGAAGATAGGCACCACATTGGCCTTCTTCCAGTCTTCGGGCACGACACCAGAGCGCCAAGAGTTTTCAAAGATCCGCGCTAGAGGCTGGGCTATGATGCTCGCCAGCTCCTTGAGTACCCTGGGGTGAAGATTGTCAGGGCCGGCTGACTTGAAGGTATCCAGCTTCTCAAGATGTTCCTTCATGAAGTCAGCATTAATGGAGGGCAGGGGATCACCCTCACCCGGACTTCCCTGTCCCGTAGCGGGCATGGGCGTCCCATGGGACTGATGAAAGACATCAGAGTAAACCTAAGCTAGCTTGTTACAACAGCACAGTAAATGGCCCCAAGTTATGGTGGGTTAGTATTTTGCATACAAAATCTATAGACATGAGGCAGTAGATCTTCAGGAGTCAGTTTCATCAGACACAATTTCACAGGCTTCATAGCTCAACAATGACCTATTTTGCAAGCAAATGTATAATTTAGTTTAGATGGCCATAGAAAATGGATCATGTTTTAGAATATTCTGTGCTAACAGAGAAGTGTCATAGCTGGTATAGTACTTCTACCAACCCTCCTGCCTTGTGAAGTTCAAATTTAAGTCATAAAGCTTTTCTGCTGTTTGAGAAAATGCATATAGCTTAATGAGAGAACATAAGCTGATGTGATAGTTATGCACATTATACAAGAAGTGCTTATAGAAAAAGCATAACCAGGATAACTAAAGTGTAAGCTGAGAGAAAAGTGAGACATTAAATAATATCTGGAAACCATCTTCAAACTGTTCATAAATTTCAAGCAAAGGAATGTAAACACTCACCTGGTAGATACTTCTTTTCATAAGCAGCTACAAGGACAAAAAAACAGGATCAGAGTTATAATTAAGTATATGTTTCTTGTTTGTATTCAATATACAACTTAAAAAAATAGCTTTCAAAGTCTAGGCAATGGACAGAAGAACCCAGTCCTATAGGAAAAAGTGTACCAGTTGTACTCGCATATAAAGAAATGCTTCCCACAGTCATATAGAGCTAAAAGCAGCCTGAACTAGAATGTCTGCCGTAATGGAGGATAAAGGAAATTCAGAATAACGTGGCTGAAGTGAAGGCAAAGAGAAGTATCACTTAAGCATAAAACTAATAATATCGGCTCCCTAATTTTCCTGAGAGAAGTCACTTTGGCTCATTTCCATGCCATGGACCAATTCTTTTCTTACTCACCAGAGTAAGTGCCCTGAATTCAACAATTTTTCCAACTATTCAGTTGGTCTAAAAAAAGATATTGCATTTACCCAAAGAACCTTGCCTGCCTGAATTCAACAGTAACTCTCAATTTACACAGGTGTAACTGAGAGTGGAATAGGGTCCTAGTAGTACCATTGTTAATGAAATGACCAGCTTTTACCATTCATTTATGGACAACTGGTTTGATGAGGCAGTAACATAATGTATTTTCATATTTTAGTAATACTGTTTTAGCTATAGAAAACTTCAGCTACTTTACACACAAAAAAAATAATTCCATGAATAGCTATTCTGTTGGAAGAGACAGGGTAAGCTGCAGAGGGATTCCTACCTTGAGCCTGCTCACTCTCTTCTTGGCAGCTTCTTTCAGATTGAAATCATATGCACTGGCATATGGCTAACTATTCTGGAAGTGAGGAGACAATTCCTTTACAGGCTATACAAAGCAAGTCAGTGAATTAGATGATAGCGTCTCTAATGCCGTAGTTGGGACCGGGAGCAGTAGTTGGGAGCAGGAGCGGGCGCACATGTGCTGCAAGCACACGTGTGCCCTCAACACACTCACCCAAGACCAGCATCGGCGGCGGCGGCAGCAACAGCTGCTGAAAGGTAAGCAGGGCAGAGGGGCGGGCACAGCTGCAGCAGATCCAGAGGGAAAGCCCCCAGATCCCATTTAGCAAAAAGCAGCAGGGAACCACGCTCCCGAACTGCGTGCAAACAGGTGCACTCTGTAAGAGCGCGCCAGTGTTTGCGCTGGTGTTTGCACACAGCGGGCATGCAGGAGGAGCCAGGTCGGAGGCTTTGGCAGGGGAAAGAGGAGGACTCGTAGCTCTATGGACATGATAAGGACACAGCGCGTTGCTGCTAGGGACCCTGCCCCGGTGGTGCCGCCTACCTGGGGCTCTTCTGATGCCTCCACCCAGGCAGGGCCTGTGGGGGGGGTGGCAGCACCCTGCCCCCGTCTGTGGGGGCAGCCTGGCAGGGACCCTGTGGCCAGGGGGCAGGAGAGGGGAATGGGAGTCCCCCCCGGCCCCGGGAGAGACCCGCTGCAGCGGTATGCCAGACGGTCGCCTCCAGAGTCAGAGCTACTCGTACTACCAGTGTCATCTCCCCAGGTACAGCTGGGGAACAGTTAGAAGGCCCTGGCAGCTGTGGAAGAGGAGGCAGGAGAGGATGCCTCCAGAAGAGGCGATGCCATGCCACGCACAGCACACACTAAATGGTGCCGGAACACCAAGAGGAAGTGACACCAGGTCCTTGTCATCGGCGACTCCAACCTGAGAGAAACGGAAGGGCCTGCCTGGAGCTCGGATTCAGGATGTCACGGAGATGATCCCAGACCTCATCTGACCCTCTGATCAATATCTCATGGTCCTCATCTGTGTGGGAACGAATGACATGGCCAGGGGCAGCCTGGACTGCTTCATGAGAGACTATAAGGCTGTAGGGGCCAAGCTCAAGGAGATGGGGGCGCAGGTGGTTTTCTCTTCTATTCTTCCAGTGAGAAGATGCGGACATAGCCACGAGGCATGCATTGGTGAGGTCAACCGGCGGCTTTGGAGCCGGTGTTACCAGGTGGGCCTTGGGTTCTTGGACCATGACCCACATTTCTGCACAGAGGACATGCTTGGGTGGTACAGGCTTCATCTCGCTCCAAAAGGTAAGTGTGTTTTTTCTTCTAGGCTGGCTGATCTTGTACAGCAAGTTTTAAAATAGGTTCGTCAGGAGACACGGACACAGAGGAACATGAAGACACTTCACCATCAAGCCAGGTGACGTGTGCAGGTAGTACCCAGGTAAGTGACAGGGGCCAGGGCAGGCTTAGGAACAAAGGGGCGGTATGTGCACCTACAGGAGGCCTCAAATGCCTCTACACAAATGCTCGAAGCATGGGGAAAAAGCAGGAGGAACTTGCCCTCCTGCTAGGTAGCAAAAACCCAGACCTAGTGTGGCTCACAGAGACCTGGTGGGATACTACCCATGACTGGGCAGTGGGCATTGAGGGCTACAGGCTTTACAGGTGAGACAGAGCTGGGGAAAAAGCGGGGGGCGGGTAGCACTCTACATCAAAGAGCAATACACATCCTCGATGATCAGGATGCGGTCAGAGGAAGGGAAAACTGAGGTGCTCTGGGTAAAAATACAAGGGGATTGTGGGGGAAGGGACATGATAGTGGGCGTCTAGTACAGACCACCTCACCAGGGGGATGAGCTGGACCTGGAATTCTCAGGTCAACTCACGGAGCCTGTAAAGCAGGGGCGGGCAATTATTTTGGGCAGAGGTTTCACTTACTGAGTTTTGGCAAGCCATTGAGGGCTGCATGATAGGCAGCCCATGGCAGATAAATATTAATTTTCTACATGTTTAGGGGCCTCGCGGGCCGGATAGAATAGCCTGGCGGGCCGCATTTTGCCCACTCCTCCTGTAAAGTCAAGGGATGTGGTTGTCATTGGTGACCTAAACTACCCAGACATCTGCTGGGAAGAGCAGTCAGCCAGGTCCGACTGCTCACGTAGGTTCCTAGCCGGGATACAGGACCTCCACCTAACCCAGGAGGCGCATAGTCCCACCAGGTGAAATGCCTTGCTGGACTTGGTCCTTGCCACAGGCGACAACCTGGTAAGGGGTCTGTGGGTACTCGACCACCTGGGCTACAGTGATTATTGCCTGCTGGAATTTACTATCCAGCACAGCGTGGTGAAAGCAAGCAGTAAGGCAAAAGTCCTTGACTTCAGGAGGGCCAACTTCAATGACCTAAGATTAGTAGGAGAGGCACTGAGGTCTCGGAGCTTCAATGAGATGGGAGTCCAAGACAGGTGGTGGTTCCTCAAGGAGGTGATCCTCCAAGCTCAAAAGGAGTCAGTCCTAATGCGTACCAAGGGGGGCAGGAGTGCTATAAAGCCTCCATGGCTTGGCAAAGGCATTCAGGAGGGCCTGAGAGCAAAAAAGGAGGCATATAAACAGTGGAAGCAAGGGGATATCACCAAGGAGGATTACACCTCCACTGCTTATGACTGCAAGGAGGCTGTTAGCAAGGCCAAGGCAGAGATGGACCTAGAGCTATTGACCAGAATTAGGGATAACAAAAAGTCCTTTTTCAAATACATAGGGAATAAGAAGGCACCAGGTAACATGGGGCCCCTACAGGACAGGCTTGGCAATCTGGTGACTGCAGCAAACAAAAAAGCTGACCTCTTTAACGAATGTTCTTTTGTTGTTCTCCCGCCCTGGCGGGGGGTCGGGCTAGAAGATCTATTAGGTCCCTTCCAACCCTAAAACTATGAAACTATGAAACTATAAGGAACTTTTGGAGGGGCTGGACGTGTTTAAATCAGCAGGTCCAGATGCTCTTCACCTGAGGGTGCTGAGGGAATTGGCAGGGGTCATAGCAGGGCCCCTGGCACAGCTTTATGAGCACTTGTGGGGAACTGGCCAGGTACCAGAGGATTGGAAAAGGGCCAATGTGGTCCCGATTTACAAGAAGGGGAGAAAAGAGGACCCCAGCAATTATAAGCCAGTCAGTCTTGCCTCGGTCCTTGGGAAGACCTTTGAGAAAATTATCAAGGAACATATCTGCAGGGGACCAGCAGGGGAGGTAATGCTCAGGGCAACCAACATGGGCTCATTGAGGGCAGATCCTCCCTGACTAACTTGGTTCCCTTTTATGACCAGGTCACCAAGTCCTTGGATGTGGGCGATGAGGTAAATGTCATCTACCTGGACTTCAAGAAGGCCTTTGACACTGTATCTCACCCCACTTCCTTAAAAAAAACTAGGCGACTGCAGCATTGATGCCTACATAGTCAGATGGGTGGCAAATTGGCTAGATGTTTGCACCCAGAGAGTGGTGGTGGACAGGTCATTTTCGACCTGGAGGGATGTGGGCAGTGGAGTCCCCCAGGGCTCAGTCCTTGGGCCTGTACCGTTCAACAACTTTATCAGCAATCTGGATGTAGGTGCGGAAAGCACGCTGTCCAAATTCGATGACGACACCAAGATGTGGGGTAAGGTGGGCACACTGGAGGTGAGGGACAGAATCCAGGTAGATCTAGACAGGTTACACGACTGGGTGGATGAGAATAGGATGGAATTCAACACAGGTAAGTGCAGGGTACTGCATATAGGGAGAAGGAACCTGCAACACACCTATAGGCTGGGGAACACCCTTCTTGTCAACACAGTCGCAGAAAGGCATCTTGGAGTCATTGCTGACTCCAGGATGAACATGAGCTGCCAATGCAAGGATGTGGTCAGTAAGGCTAACCGCACCTTGTTGTGCATCTACAGATGCATCATAAGCAGGTCCAGGGAGGTGATCCTTCCTCTCTATGCGGCATTGGTCAGGCCGCAGTTGGAGTACTGCATCCGGTTCTGGGCGCCGCACTTCAAGAGGGATGTAGCTAGCATTGAGAGGGTCCAGAGGAGGGCCACTCGCATGGTCAAGGGGCAGCGGGTCAGGCCCTACGAAGAGAGGTTAAGGGCCTGAATTTATTCAGCCTCCACAAGAGAAGGCTGAGAGGGGATCTGGTGGCCATTTACAAACTCACCAGGGGGGACCAGCAGAAATTGGGGGAGGCTCTGTTCCCTCGGGCACCACCCTGGGTTACTAGGAATAACGGCCACAAATTGTTAGAGAGAAGGTTCAGGCTGGACAACAGGAGGCATTACTTTACATTAGGGCTGCCAGGCTCTGGAATGGACTCCCAAGGGAGGTTGGAATGGACTCCCAAGGGAGGGGGTGCTCTTTCCTACCATGGGGGTCTTCAAGAGAAGGCTGGATAGATATTTGGCTGGGGTGTTATGACCCCAGCACTCGTTCCTTCCTGGGGCAGTGGGTTGGACCTGATGACCTGTTTAGGCCCCTTCCGACCCTAAGCACTATGAAACTATGTAGACCTGGACAAAGCTAAGGGACTGTAGATTCTGGAAGCACAATTTAAAATCTAGGACTGTTATAGTTATTTCTTAGCATATCATGAAATCTAGTCTGGCAGCTCCTGAACGCCTAATAAACAAATAGTGCAACAGAACTAATAAAATAATACCTGTGTGATGTAAAGCCATGTTATACTTACAGGCTGTTTTACAAAGGGTCCCTGTCAGAGGAAACTCTTCACAACTCTTTTTTTCCCATTTCCCCGACTTAGTGTTCATAAAAGCACATGTATTCATGAGCACTTCATCAATCTCCTCAGTCCACTTGGTAAAATTCATTTCTGACTCATCATACCACTTGAAAGAATTATCTGTGATTGAAAGAATTGCACTCGTGTTGTTCATGTAGAAACACTTTTTTCACATTGCCTAATCAAGTAACTGCCCTTAAAAGAAAATGGAACATTCTGAAGGTATTGTTTGGTACATTGTTTAGAAATATGTTCAGAAAGTTGTTACGGCTATAGCTAATTATAGTTAGTTGTAGCCAGTTTGGTCTCACTGAAATAAACAGCATAAAAAACCATGCTCTGAATTTCATGCAATGAGGGCAGCAGTGCATAACCATAATATGCTCATAAGAAAGACCATCTGGGGCAAGAGACCTTTCTATCATATACCAGTACTTGGGCACTTGTTACTGCTGCTTTCCCAAGAGCAGAATACGATCACTGTATTTGGACAGTGCCATCTGTGGTTGCCAATTTGGGATAACCTTCTCTTTCCTTGAGACAGTTCTATTTAAATGAATGATGTAAGTCCAGTCACATTAGGTATGTGTAAGTATTCCCTTATATGCCATAAACAATACACACTTATATGCCACACACAGTAGGATATAATCTGTAACTCACCTAACTTACATTGCTGCTTAGACATCAGGATTTAAAGTCTTTTTTCTCCTCACACCCCCGCTTTCTGCTTACAATAGCAACAAAAGAAAAGGCTAACTTGAACAAATCTGGCATCAGTATACTAGGCTTTCCCATTACATCAATATTCCTTGAGCCCACATATTTTCTTGGAAGGAGAGGCTGTCACAGGTCTCAAAGTTCATCTTGAGTCTGTCCTCGGCTCTTTGTGGCTTTACAAAGCTCCTAAAGCAAGTAGAATATTCTTCAGGTACAGGGGCACTAGGACATCTGTTTATTTAGCACATTTATGATAAGCTCTACTTAATACAGGAAATGGCCCTGACCATCTCTGACCTAAAAGGTTTAATTGTAAGCTCAGCTGAGAGAGTTTTAACAATCTTCAGAGGGGACAGTGAGAGCTTCTGGCAAGGTAAATAAACAGAGCAAACAAGGGGATAAAATGCACCCTTAAGGCAGTGACCTTTTCTATTAAAGGCAAACCCACAATGCTGGTATTGGGAATTACAGGTGAGGAAAGGTGGTTTTGCGGTTAAGGCCTGAGCTTTGAGTTTCTGACCTAGAAACCCACAGGGGAATGGGGATATCAAATTTACTTCTGTGTCTTTAATAACATCTTGATTTTTTTTCCTTTATCCCACATAGGAAAGATCACAGTTTAAATAAGGGTTGGAAGCTCATTATTACTCACTAATTGAAAGCATGCTCTCTCGTACACTAGAAGTACGAATGTTGCAAGATCTGTTATTCTATTTTACAAATGCAAACCTGAAGCACACTATGAAGAGTTAACCAGGGTCACACAAAAACTTCCACAGGCATGCAGATGCCTGAGCACCTCAGCTGCCTGCAGTCATACAATCAGCTGATTGGCAGGAGGAGAGCATTCTCCCATGGTGGGGATCCTCCTGGTGCTCCCCTATAGGAGAATGAACCCACTCCTTGCACTCCCTGGGCTGACACAGAGGAGTGCAGGGAGATGAGAGCCTTGGCAGAGGGGCATGGCAGGCTGCTTTGCCCCATGTTGCTCTGGGCTGACCCAGAGCAGTGTGGGCTGAGGTGGGGGCATTTTGCTGCAATTCTTTGCTGTTGTAACACAGCAGCCTGCCTCACCTCGCTCTGCTCTGGGTCAGCTGGGGGGCACAGGCAGCAAGGGGAAGTTGGAGGAGCAGGGAGCCAGGTTTGGGAAAGCCTCCATACACCTAGATCCTGGTCCCTCTGGCTTCTGTTTGCCCCACCTGCCACTCAGCTAAGTGGCAGGAGTGGCAATTTAAAAGTGGGAAGCTTTGCCCAGCCTGATTCCCAGCTCCCTGGAGTCACACTCCCATCTGCTGACCCTTAAATTGCTGACCTGTGGTTCAGCTGAATGGTGCGGGTGGTAAGGAGAAGCTGGCAGGAGCTGGCAACGCCTCTTACCTCTTCCCAAAACTGGGACTGTCCAGTTTGGGGAAGAGGCAGGGACTGGTGGCTGCCTCTCAACACCTTGTCAAGACTGGAGTAACCCCAGACTTGGGAAGGCAGAGAGCCTTTCCTCCCACTCCACAATTCCTGAATCCTGGGAGGAGTTAAGCTGTGGAAAAGTGTACAGATGTTCAGTCTCCTGGGAGAAACTCTCTCAGGTGCGAATTAACCCTGGTTGTTGCTGGATTATTTTCTCCTGGAGTGTCCATTTTTGCTGTGGGTGAAAAGCCCTGAACATCTGCACACAGTTTCTACTAGGAGAATGATTCTCCCAGTAGAAACTGAACATCTGCACGTGGCCTAAGACAGTGACCAAATAATGATAATGGGTAGCTTCATCAGGACCAGTAATCTCTAAGGCAAATAGTACAAGCAGTTCAAGGCCATAGTCCCAGTAGGAACAGCATAAGGAGATGGCAGCATACTTAGGGCTAGGACAGCACTAGTAGACAGCTATCATTAGGATACTACTATACTAAATAGTGGAAAACTTAAGGGCTTTTAACCTTTTCTTCTGCTGCTATGCTGGAGCAATGAAAGTAGCATACAGTAACAACCCTCTTTTTAATTAAATCACAATTTTACCTAGAATAATCTCTGGAAAAATCATGTTCCATTCACTGAGCTAAATTCTGTTCTTAGATATGAAAAGCCCAAAGTAATTTATCCATATCCAAAATAATTCATTAATGTGTTACTCTGGCTTTACCCAGTGCAGATGAATTTGGAACCTGTCCCTTTTGTATATGCATACTAGTTAAATCTTTCTCAGCTACTGATGTGAATGGAGGAAGGAAAGCCAGACTGTTTCCATAAATATGCAACCAACAAGCTGGTTTTACTAATTTTTAAAGCAAATATAGCACTTGTCAAAGCTGTTGGATTGACAAGCCTGGCCATCATTCTATACTGATCCTTGGCACAGGCACTACAGCACAAGTAAGGGCAATGCAAACTTTATATCTTCCTCTGCCCCTAAGTGGAAGAGAGTATTTAGGGATAAAAGTCAGTTGCATATCAGTCCTTATTCATTCTTTGACACTGCCAACCAACGTTCTGGTTAGCCTGCTGTTGGTTTTTCAATTTGGATACTTGTCTTACAAGAGCTGAACTGAGATGGCCACATAATTAAATAACTATTTCACAGACTGGTATTTTCTGAAATCATTACAGTCAAAGTATTAAGACAACATCAACATGGTAAACCTCTCACTTCACTTACCATCTGTATCAAAAATCATGCCCAACAAAATGTAATCAGGGCCTTGCCAGTGAGTTTTGAAAGTTTGCAGTATAAACGTATTCTCCTTTTCATTTTTTATACTAATAATATCCGCACCAGAAGCTGTGTTTAAAAAACAAAGTCACCTTATTAAATCTTTCTTTTAACATGCATTTCATATAACTGTTGTATATATAGTTAAAATGTTTAAAGTATAGTTTTTAAATATAGTTAAAATATATATTACATTTAATGTATCCAATTAATTGTGTACATATATTACCCACTTCCTAGCACTGAGGTGGCACGCTGACAGGAAATAAAATATATGCCCATAGTGCCATATGGATGCTACTTAAGATGAGATTTAAAGTATGTAGGTACTTAGATTGATATATATGTAATTTGAAAAGAAATCTAAGAAATTTAGTTAATTTAATTAGATCATGGAACTGGTATCTCAGATGTGTCATATTCCCTTGATGGGTTTCAGATTTTGAACACAACAATCATTTAAAAGAAACAGCAAGCAGTGCAAATTTAAACTCTTATTACTTGTGCATAAACAATCTGATCATGTACATGTTATTTATAAGTTGTTAAAAATATTAATAAGCAGTAAAAAAGTTATCTATATAGATATGCATAAGCCCAAGCCGCCTTGTTTAATACATAAGCACTATTTTAAAATAAGTGTTGGCACAGCAATTTGCTTCTAAAATCCCTCTGTCAATCTTGAGTTGAATTTTCACAACCACTTTTTTCAAATAATGATTTAATATCAAATAAAATTCAAAATAGTAAATTGAAAGTTAAATTAATGCTGAATGTCACATCACATTCTCTTCAAGCCAATGGGAATTTTGCCTTTTTCCTTGAAAGCAAGTTGATTTTCCATTTTCTTTAAAAAAAGAATTATTTCTCTACAGAACAACTTGTTATAAGTGATAGGTTGCTTGTATAACCACAAAGACCAGATTACTACACCTACGGAGATGAAGGTCAAATAACAAAAGATATTTCCAAATCCTACTCAAAAATGTTTTACTCCATTCTAAAAGTTTCTTACACTTCAGAAAAAGAACTATAATTGTGTCTAGGCTGGGGCATAGGCACTGCAGGGGGGGGGGGCGGGGGGGGGGGGGGGGGGGGGGGGGGGGGGAAAGACTTTCTATGCCTCCACTGCCACATAAACCTGAGGAGGGCTAAGTGGAACTAGTCATATACATATAATACATATATAATATTTTACCAGGTAGAAAAAAATAATAATAGAAAATGAGTTTGTGGCATCACATCTAGACTTTACAGAGAACAGCAAGGTAAGGACAGGGATCTATAGGAACATAGTCCTGTATATAGAATAGCAATACATAAACCAGTGGTTCTCAACCTTTTTTTGACTTAAGGTACCTGTCAATGGACCTAAGCACCTCTCCCTAACTTTTGAGAGTTGAGTGCACCCAATTTAAAAAATGATTTTATACATTACAGTGTTTATCTTGAAGTGCTGGGCAGAAGAGGTAGAGGGATAAGCCAGCAGGGACAAGCCTGAACACGTGCTTATCTCTTCAAACCTCCTAGCACCTTGCAAAAATCTGGCAGCACCCAGGGTTCAAAAGTACTCGCATAAACTATGCCACATTCCTGTTTTCATATGGATTAGGAGAGTGTTTCCAGGGAACCTGACCGTCACTGTGGTCTACATTCACAGATAAATACCAATTAAACTTTAACATTGGGAAGATCATCTCCAGAGGTCAAATATGAAAAAAATAATTGCTTACTACTGCACTTCAACGACTATGAGGCTCCTGCAGGCCATCAAAAACCTGCTGAAATCAGCTTACATCAAATGACTCTGTGTCTATCCCTTCACATGACAATATCAGTTACAAGAAATCCAGTATTGGATAAGAGCAGAAAAGTACCAGTACTTGATGTTTTAAGGGAAGACAACCACACAGGTATACAAGGTAGAAAACTCTTATGTTCTGCAGCGTGAGGTTTAATTACTTTCCAATTTAGTTTATGTAATAAGACTAAGGTAATACACTACACTTGTGAAATGCAGCCACAACATTTATCTCTTACTAATACATCAGAAACAAGAGAGATTGCTTACAGTACCATTGCCTTTACAGAGATCCCTGGCATCCTCAACACTCTCCACATTGTTTAATGTTCCTTGAAAAAAAGCATAGCAGTAACTTCCAAATGGAATCCAGACAGATGAAGGGCACTCTGCACAGTACAGAAGAAAAATTATTCTAGGTCTTGTTGTTATGAAGGAATTACCTTACTGGAGTTCTGCATTTTTCTACACAGTATGCATTTTAGATTAATCACAAAAAAATTGCATATTCAGTAGTACCTGGAGTTAGCATACATAAAATATACATAAGAATCTAATTTAGCAAGTGAGCTAAAGAACAAGTGTGAGACACTAAGATGCGTGAGACATGAGAAAATTGAGACACAAAAGACTTAGACTTAGCCAATATTTTGATTTTTAAGGATTAGCCCCCTTTGATCGAGTCAGGTTAGCTTTTATTTCCTTATATTGACGTGGTCAACCTGCAACACAGGTGCTACAAGTGGCACAGGCAGGCTCTATGTGTGGATCAAGGGCAGGACAAGCAGCCCAGCAGCAGAAAACAGAAAACAGGATGCATCTACATGATGTTCATACATCTGAATAAACTCCAGCTTTGCACCAGAGTTTCTTGCTCATGGGCAATGGAATTAACACGCATGTCTGGGACCAAAGCATGTTGAGCGAGAGCAGCACATCCCTGGCTGGCAGAGGGTCTGAGGGTCAGCCTGCCAGCTCTGACCTGACTCAATGTGCTGCGGAGTGGATGGGCTGGGGCATGATGGTGCTAAAGTGTGGGTCTAGCCAGCAGGCAACCCTGCACTGTAGCACCTTCATGCCCCAGCCAGCCCCAGTCACTGTCTAGACGTGTACTGTGGTGAGCTAAACAACTCTGCCATAGGATGGTACTTGTATTAAGTAGCACTAAACTACAGTGGAGTTAATTAATTTACTCTGGCCTAATAGCTCCACATGTGTTGATGGAGATGCTTTGCTGCAGAGCTAATTAGGCAACTCCACAGTAAGCATCACATGTACACGCTCCCACAAAGTAGCAGGTCAGGCAGAAAGCAAAGGGCAGGAAGCAGAAAGCAAAGCAGCAGATTGGGCAGGGGAAGGGGCAGAGAAGGAGAATGGGAGGCTGCAGGGCTAATTTGTGGCATGCCTGCCAAAAAGCTTGGTCCCCGCTGTCCTAGGTAATAGGGCTTCTACCATTTCCATTAGACTACTGACAAATAATCTCACATGTCACTACTAGATTTTCTGTTTATTCAATTTATGTTGTCCTTTGCTTTTCTCCTACATATTTAGAAAGCATCTATCACCATTGTATTACTACATTATTCTTAGTTAAATCACCTTTGACTGCCTTCAGTTATTTTTCTGGATCACTGGTATTTCTGTTCCTTCAGTTCTGAACAATGGCCCAAAATCATCCCCTTTAGCCATGAAATCAAGTGAGATATATCTATATATATATATATATATATATATAATCTTACATCCTCTCTCTAGTACACAGGTACTAAGAACCAAACAGAGTAATCTGGGAGAGGTTTCATCAGTACCAAATGGGGATGGCACCTCTCAGCCTTATGATACACTGCACCTGTAAATGCAGCATAGGATTTTACTGACATCGGGGGTGGGGGGGTGTTCAAGTGTCTTTGTTTTTGGACTGTATGCTCATTTACTATCCAGTCTCACCCTCTGGGTTTCTTGCATCATTTCAGCTTACTAGTTACTCTCCATAACAGCTGCAGGAAAAGAGAGAAAGAGAAAAACGCAATGAGAAATATATGACGGAGGACACACCATATAATAGATACATGTACATGCTGAATGGGCAAGAAAATAAAGGAAGGAAAGGCAAAGGAAATGGCACAGCAGCTAGCTAAATTTTTTTATTTTTAAAACATCATCTTCTCCTCTGGTCTGTGTCCTCTCAGGAGAGATCATACTCTACCAATTACATTGCTTTACAAATAACTGACATTATTTTGAAAGATGTGTGACTCCATGGAATCAAAGATGGCATGAACTTAGGGGAAACCCTCAGATCTGTTTGACACCTTCTAAGAACATATTTCACTCCTCAGTCTAGCAGCACAGGTCAATGTGAATAGCTTCATCCCACCAGTTCTACTCTCTATGTTGATTTCTCACTGACTAGAGATTCCAGTTCAAGGTCCCTGTCTTGATATTCAAAGGCCCCTCATTTGATTGGCCTCATTTAATAGAAATCACCTCCCTGTTCATGACTAGGACAACATTATAATGATGCTGCTGACCAATAGCAGGAGGCACACGAGTATAGGTATTGGACCTAGACTATGGACCTTATTCCTGCAAGTGACATGACTACAAATCTCAACATTTTCAGAACAAAGGGCTCAATATAAGACACAACTGGAGCCTTTCCACTCACTTGTGTCAGCTCTACGATTGATCTTTTTACAGTAGCTTACCTTCAATAAGTTACATTTCTCCCTGCATTCCAACTTGTTTCATACAGGAAACAATCATAAATTAATTTATTTTAAAACTGGAAAGGAATGTTCAATATTTCTGCTTCTTAAATGCTTGGGAAGTGCTAAGACACTACAATGATGAGGGCCTTCTAAATAGATTAAGTAAATAGTCATCAGCTTCAGAAAGGCTAAATAATGTTTCAAAACAACTGGATTTTTCTAAGAACAGAACCAACATAGGAATAAATCATTTGAACCTTGACCTGAATGCTTACCTGGGGCCATGATATAAGAAATGAAAGACTCCCATCAACAAGGTCAGAAATTACTGTGTGTGTATTAAACTTTTGTTTCTTTCTAGACCTAGGTGTGTATGGTATTTGAGTAAATACAATGTTTTGCAATGTATAGAATTATTTTGCTATACATTATAGAACCATGTGACTGTTCTCATCCACATACTCATAAAAATGAGATTATCAAGATTTTTTAGTAAGAAAGCTTTCATAATTAAATTAAAGGGAGAAAAAGGAATGGACATGAGAAGCATGGGAAGCAAGAATGAATAAGTGTATTTAAAGTTGCTGACTTCAATAGGGCCTGTGTAGAAATATCAATACGTAGAATTTTCTCCAAATCAGACCAAAAAAATTGGATCAGGATTTGTCATAAAATAATGGGACATGATTTATAGTCTCTAAAACCTTTAAAAAGGCTTCAGAAGGCATTATATATTTAAACGTATAAGTGTGATATGTGAAACTATAAGATGGGCTTCAGAAACCCTTAGCTGGGCTTTTAAGCTGTTTTGTTTTTCAGATGAGTGTGGAATGTTGATTCGGGTACATGTCATTTTGCTACCCATTTGTGCACTGACTAGCACAATGGGGCTCTGACCTGGAGGCCCTAATGCAGTACAATAAAGAATAGTTTCTGTTGCAACCCTAAACTATGACATTACCCTAATTATTCCCCCCACTGGTGGCTCAATTTCTATTTTTAGAAGGAACTTTGGAATTCAGGGGTCAATCCTCATTTCTCAATTGCCATCACAGGATGAGGACTAAATACCTACCAGGTACTTCAGGCACTAAACACAGATAGAAAATTATTTTTGGTCCTGTTACTATACAAATCTTTTCTGCTCTTTACCAGGAAACTGCTTGTGAATATTTTATATACACACTAATTGTCATTATCTTACAATATTGCTTCAGGCTGTATAATTTTGTCACGCTGACCTTCATATGGTGCTTCTGAACTATACCAGAGAAAAGGGGAAGAACAAATAGACTGAACTCAAATGCCAAGAAAATAAAAACAAGCTCCCTTATGAAATCCCCACCACAGAAAACTGAATTATTCTACTGCTATAGTAAATAGCATTTTACAATTACATATATATCTAAAGTATTAATACATTTTTGGAAGGTTTTATTTTGTACCCAAAGTTAATGCCCAAAGTCATGCTGACTTCAGTGATGAAAGTCATGCTGACTTCAGTGATGGGCAAGATAAAAGAACCCAGGCTTACCAGTTACAGATAAATGCATTAAATATTGATTTCAATATTGACTAGTACTCCTTACCTTGATTCTTTTAAAAACCCACTTAAAGCAGTTGAATACATAGGACTCCTTAAATACTCAACTTTCAAATAAAGGGATCAGTCCTTTCCTCAGAGAAAACTCTTTATTTCACTTTTATTCAAGTTTTACTTAGACACTACAACAGGGGCAGGCAATTATTTTGGGCGGAGGGCCACAAGTTTTGCCAAGCTGTCGAGGGCTGCATGGGTAACCCTGCCCCTTGACAGGTGCCCCGCTCCTGGTCGCCATCTTGGGACTAGAAGTCCTGCCCCTGACCTCTGACCCTTGCCACCGGAAGTCCCTCCCCTTGCCCCTGGAAGTATTCCTTCAGAGAAGAGGGTTTTTGCTATCTTAGAACTGGGGAAAAAAAAAACAAATTATGTACTAAAAATCAAATACCCATAATATTATATTTTAATTTAATTAAAAAATATATTTTTGTCCTGATACTTGTGTGTTTGTGCTTTATATGTAGAAGTGATTGCATAATAGCTTAAAATGTAGTCATACTCTTGTATAGTGTGTGGGGTGTGTTGCGGCATTGGGGGCTATGGGTGGGTGGGTGGATGTGGGGTTTGTGGGGAGCTGTGGATGTCTGTATGTGGTATTTGTTGGATGTGTGATTGTGTCTGGATGAGGGTGCGGCTGTGGGGTTTGCAGGAAGGGTTGCAAGGGGGGAGCCAGCTGGGCACTTGCTGCCCCAAGCCTCATGGTTACGTTTGCACTCTGGCAGCTGCCAGGGAAGGGCCTGTCAGGTTTGGGAGCAGTGTGGGAGGCTCCTGGAGCCACTGGGGGTGGCACGAGTCAGTGGGAACATGGCCTGGAACATGGGAAGACCAAGGAGGCGGTGCAGAACTTGCATCGCATGCCTGAGGCTTGGGGTAGCAAAGGTTTGGCTGCCCCACCCCCCATGGGCAGCCTGGGGGTTGCCACCACCCTGGGGGGGGATGGCCCAGCTCTCCCACACCCCACAGGGACACAGCAGCCTGACAGCAGCTTGCCCCCTGGCCCTGGGACAGACAGGGAGGCTGCACCAGGAGTCAGAGCAGAGCAGAGGAGCGGCTGTTTTTGTGCTTTAGAAGCTCCTGCAGCTTCCAGAAGGCTGGGGAAAACTCCTGGCCGGCCCTGGGAGCAGTGCAGGGTGCCACCTGAGGCCGCTGGTGGCGGCACGTGGCCCAGGACACGGGAAGTCCAGGGATGTAGCATGGAAGTTGCATCCTATGCCTGAGGCTTAGGATGGCAACAGCCTGGCTGCCCACACCCACAGGTGTCCCCAGCAGGTGCCACCACCCTGACTGGAGCGGAGCTGTGGCTTCTTTTTTCCTCTGAAAGCTCCTGCGGCCTCCCCGAGCTTCCTGTGCCCTGGGCCGGGACCCTGCCAGGTTGTGCCACCCCCAGCAGCCTCGGGAGGTGACCCATGCTGCCCCCGGGGCTGGCCAGGAGCTTCCACAGGGCCCCTGGGCTCCTCACAGCCACAGGAACTTCTGGAGCAGAAAAGCAGCTATGGACCTGCTCCTGCAGGGCGGGGGGGCCCAGGCCTTCCCCCCCGGATGGCAGCACTCACCTGAGTCTCCCATGGGGATGGGGCAGCCAGGCCATTCCTGCCCCAAGCCTCAGGCGTGGGATGGAAGTTCCGCGCTGCACCCTGGACCACATCCCCACTGGGTCATGCTGCCTCCAGCAGGCCCCGTGCTGCCCCCAGGGCCAGACAGGGGGGTTGGGAGCCAGCAACAGCCAGGCAGTGTCCCGGGTCCAGTGCCAGTGGGGCCCAGAGCAGGCTAGCAGGAGCCCAGGGCACAGCTGGCTGGGCTCTATGGAGCCCGGCCGGGCTGCCCCAGCACGGAGAGGGGAGCCACCCCGCTCTGGGCCCCACCAGCGCTGGCTCCCACACGCCCCTTTGCTCCCAGCCCCCCGCCCCAACCCCATGGCCAGTCGGGGACCAGCATGCTCCCCAACCCTCTCTTACCTAAGCTTCCCACTCCGGCATGGGTAGGAACAGCCTCATGCTCCCTCTGGCTGGGGGGGCAGGGCAGTGCGGGCCCTGCTCTTTCAGGGGCCTGCTGTGGCTTCCGCTGGGTCCTAATGCCCCTGGCTCCTGTCACTTGGAGCCAGAGGCAAATCAATATTAATTTTTAAAACATTTCTCAGGGCCCCACAGACTGGACAGAATGGCCTCATGGGCCAGATGCAGCCTGCGGGCCATATTTTGCCCCCTCCTGCACTACAAGATTGGACTTAATGTCCTTTGGGGGCAATTCTAAAAATACTTAAAGGCCTTCCCACCACTAGAGAAATATACTGTGCTACTTTTTTTTTTAAACTTCTAGCATACTTGTAACATACGTAGGTGTTAACTCATATGGAGACAATTGACCCGCATGATCCGGGGACAGTAGGGCAGACCTTACAATGAGAGACTACGGGACCTGAACCTGTTCAGCCTTCACAAGAGAAGGCTGAGGGGGGACCTTGTGACCATCTATAGACTCATGAGGGGGGACCAGAAGGGTTTGGGGGAGACCTTGTTTCCCCTAGCGTCCCCCGGGATAACAAGGAATAACAGCCACAAGTTGTTGGAGAGTAGGTTTAGATTAGACATCCGTAGGAACTACTTCACAGTTAGGGCGCCTAGGATCTGGAACCAACTTCCAAGGGAAGTGGTGCTGGCTCC